GTTAGCACACACGGGATTCCCGGCTCTGTTCTGGGGACGGCCCGGGGAGCTGACGGCCTCAGCGCTGTTTTTCCATCACCAAATGGCTGAAGGGAACCCTCAAACACCCCGCGGTTGGGGCACCCTCTCCTTGCACCCCTGCAAGGGAAATCCGCACCAGGCACAAGTGGAATGGCTGACCTGGGATGACTTCTGGGACGGATGGAGAGCCAGACACAAACACTGCCGCTCCAGTGATTTATGGCCCTCGAGTGTAAACATCCTCATTTTACCAACACACAGGCTCTGATTGGTTTCACTCTCACAACAGCCACGTGCCGACTGCAGAATATTTCGTGTCCCACGGAATTTCTCACTCATGGCCGCGCTGGGCCCATTTACCACCCGATTTTTCCCAGAAGTTCCCCAGCACCAGGCTCCCAGTCCTTGGCTACAACCAAGGAACATTCAAATCACTTTCGGGTAGGTGTCTGTGTTTGGTGGGACGTTTCCATCCTCTGGGTGAGGGCCCGCAGTGCAGCCACGGATTGTCAGTTTTGGGCTGCTCTTTTTAGGATCGTTTGCAGTTTTTTGTTTTTCCGAACAAATGGCCCTCATTCCTTCGAGCCACCTATGCACACCTCCGGGCAAATCTTCTTTTACCTCCCACAAAAGGGGAGTGGTTTCGGGCGGCGGCTGGGAGGAGGAATGATTGCAACACCAAAGAGCAGGGCAATATGGGAGGGAGAAGAAATTAATCTTACCTTGGGAATCGCTGATTTACGGCAGGAGCCAGCGAGGAGGGGCTGGGCGCACCTTGGCAAGGAGCGCGCCGTGACTCGGGCAGGGAGCGCTCACCTTCCCCAGCCACAGGCCGGGCTGGGGGCGAGGAACCTGCCCCGTTGTGCTGGCAGGACTTCGAGAAACTCATCTTTTCCCCCAAGCGGATTTGCCTTTGCAGCCCGGATTCGTGTCCCCGATGCGCGCCTGGCTGCGCGCTGCGCTCGTCCTTGGGGCGCAGCTCCGAGGTAAGGAAGGAAACCTGTCCTGGCCGTGCTGCCCTCGCTCCCTTCTTCCGATCCCTGAAATTACTGAAATTATCCCCAAGGCTGAGGCTTTTCCCCGTCCCTGCTGCCATTCTTCCTGCGCGGGGTTCGCTGGAAGTGGCACGAAGCGGTTGGGTTACTTCCCCAACAGGTTTGGGCGTATTCGGGAGGAAAGCACCGATCTCCTCCTCTGATTTCCTCCTCAGCTCCGCTTTCAAAGTCTTTTTCTCTCCTGCTGGAATCTGAACTTTACACCCAGCCTTTCTTTCTTCTTCTTTTTTTTTTTTTTTGCTACCTTTGTTCCTAAACAGTCGGGGATTGTCCAGGAGCTCCGGCCTCAGATCCTTTACACGGCAAAGGATCCAGACTGACACGAAACTCACCTGAATTTTCACTGGTTTATATCAAAAAAACAACTGGGTTTTAACAAAACACATCCTCCTTTCCCAAATGCATCAGCGCATGGATGTAATCTGCCTTGAAAAAAAGTATTATATTCTTATTTCTCGCTTAGTCCTTTTCAAGGAGTTTAAAACGAAAAGATTTGGCACCGAATCCGTGTATGAGCAAAGTGATCTCTGCCAATGAGGTTTTTCACGTGGGAATGCTTTCAGTGCTTTGGCATTCAAGTATTTTTCCCTTTGAGATAAGGAATTATTTGGAAGGAAGTATTTAGTCATGAATTATTTCCAAATACATCTTTATTTTGAAGCTATATTTTAAAACCCTAGAAAAGCTTTTTGTTTTTTTGCTTGAATCACACTGGGTTGAGTTATCTTCTTAATGTGACAGGATATTAATATTTTCTATTTCCTTCACTAGCAAACCATTATTTTTTCTTATTTTTCACTCTCCTCCTCTCCTTTCCATGCTCTCCCTCCTGCTGGTTGTCCCTCTTCCAGGAGAGCATCAAGTGAGCGATGCTCACTTATTTTTAAAGCAGCGGCCATGGTGGTGGTGGTGATGTTTCTTGGAAAAACAAATCCACGTTTTCCTTGAGGATTTCCTCAAGGACCTGACCGAATTTTCCTGCAGCTGCCCAGCTTTATAAGGCCTCTAAAATTGGCTCTGGACATCCCTGTAGGAGCCGTTCCACCGTGGTGTGCACGAGGCTGAGGAGAAAATGTAGAAAGGGAAGAAAGGGAGTAGAAAGTGTAGAAAGGGAAATTCTGGCATAGGAAATAGCAATTATTGGGTGAGTTCAGTCCAGTTTGAATGGGTTTTTCTGAATAAACCGGCAGGATCACCCCCTTTGGAATGCCTGAGCCACTCAGGCCATGCCTTGCCAGCGCAGATAAGGCTCCCGGGGATCTAAAGGCGATAAGAGCAGGGATGAGCTCACCTTGACACTGATTTCCCCCCGTGTTTGCCCTGCAGCGCTGTGGCTGGCGGCAGCAGTGGAAGTTCACACTGCCAAGGAGGTGGTGGCCGTGAACGGCACCAACCAGCGGCTGAAATGCACCTTCTCCAGCAGCAGCCCCGTGAGCCAGCAGCTGTCCGTGAGCTGGAACTTCCAGCCCGAGGACCTGAGCGCCCACGAGCCGGTGAGTGAGACCCCTGTGCTCCTTTCCAGGGGTTCCTCTAACCCAAAAACCCAGCAGTGGGTGAGCAGTGAGACCCCTCTGCTCCCTTCTAGGGGTTCCTCTCACCCCAAAACCCAATGCTGGGTGAGCAGTAAATGGATACAGACACACCCCAAACCCACAAGTACATCTGAGCTTTCGTCACTTGCAGTGATTAATCCGAGGCCTGTTTATAGTCCTTGCCTAAAAAACGCTCTCATGTTTAGTTTTGGGTGGTCAGGTTAAAATATTTGTGGCTTTACGAAGCTGGAACTGCTGCACCTGATGAGACTTCAGGAATCGCCCAGGTCCCTTCCAGCCCAGGCCATTGGGTGTTCCTGTGACTTTTGCAGGTATTTTACTGCCTGTAACTTTTGCAGGTATTTTACTACCTGAAGGAGCCCTACCAGCCCCCCTCGGGAAGGTTTAAGGACCGAGTCACCTGGGATGGGAACATCGAGCGCCACGACGTTTCCATCATGGTCTGGAACCTGAAGCCCAGTGACAACGGGACCTTCACCTGCCAGGTGACAAACTGGCCAGACGTCTATGGCACCATCGGGGAGGTGCGGCTCCGGGTTGTGCAGAAAGGTGAGAGGCCAAAAACCCCCCAGAGATTGTGTGGGTTTAAGCAGAGAGAAAATCATGGGAGAAAAGGGGCTGTAAGTTGTGAAAAATGCGTATTTTATGATTGGCTTGTCGCAAATATTAAAATGAATATTATATGTGTTGTGTTAGAAAGTGATGCTGTGTTAATTTTTTTTAAGTAGTGTGTTAAATATAGTTATAGGTTATAATGTTAGGTTATAAGTTAATGTTATAAGGTTGCAATGTTATTAGGTATTATTAGGTTATAAGTTTTAGGTTATATATAATTTCAGGTTACAATGCTACTATAGAAACAATGCTGTGTAAGATACTTTCTTAAAGAGAGGAATGAGGCACTCTCACTGAGAGCAGCCACAGGACATTTGAATCTTCCAGAGAAAGAGAATTTATTGCTCCCTTATCAGAAGAAATGAATTTCTTCCTGCCTTGCTCAGTCCTAAAGACGCCGTCAGGACTCAGAGGAAAAAGCTGACACTGCCCAGCCAGAATCCTGTGTTTGAATGGAATTTATGCAGCATGGATGAGCTGTATGAATATGCAACAGGCTGCTGCTTTTAAGGGTTAATCCTCTGTTAACATGGGTCCTTTTTCGAGCTTATTTTGCCCAGAAAGAGAGACCCAGACTGTCCATAACCCTTTGTTTTTATTGTCTCATATTTTCCTAAATCCTAATTGTCCAAATTATTATTACTCTAATTAAATTACTATTTTTATAACCATTTTATTGCTATTAAACTTTTAACATTTTAAAAACAAGTGATCTTCACAAGCAGAAAGCATGAGGGGAGAAGAGGAGCCTGAGGAAAGGTTTCATTCACACACACAGCATCCCAGCCTCGCTCCCCCTGTGCGTCCCTCTGTTTCATTCCCTTGTCTCTCCCCACGCAGTGAGCTTCTCAGAAATCCATTTCCTGGCCGTGGCCATCGGCTCTGCCTCTGGGCTGATGATCATCGTGGTGACAGCCGTGATCATCTGCCGGCAGCACCGCAGGAAGGCGCGAGACAGGAGAACCGAGGTGGCGGAGGCGGCGGACAGCGAGCGGTGAGCGAGGGCAGGGGGGCTCCTGGGGCAGCCTGGACAGTTCATTTCCACAGCCCTTCTGAATCCTTGGCCAGTTTATCTCCATGGCCCTCCTGAATCCTTGGCCAGTTCATCTCCATGGCCTTTCTGAATCCTTGGCCAGTTCATCCCCATGGCCTTTCTGAATCCTTGGCCAGTTCATCCCCATGGCCTTTCTGAATTCTTGGCCAGTTTATCTCCATGGCCCTCCTGAATTCTTGGCCAGTTCATTTCCACAGCCCTCCTGAATTCTTGGCCAATTCATCCCCATGGCCTTTCTGAATTCTTGGCCAGTTCATCCCCATGGCCCTCCTGAATTCTTGGCTTGGACCCTGCACGGAGCATCCACAATGCAAAACTGCCAACTCAGTTAGGGATAATTGGCTGTCTGCTGGCTGAACAGAGCCCCAGGATGGGCCAGCTCTGGAGCCCTCATCTGGCTCTTGCCCTTCTCAGTGGCTCCTCACTCAGAAGGACACAGCTGCTGTGGTGGTGGAGGGGAGATGACCACCCTGTCCCCTGAGCTGTGGTCACCACTGGTGTGGCACACTCACCATGTCACCTTGGATGTGCTGTGTGTGACTCAGGACATCCTGCTGCTCTGCCTGACACTCATTTGGGCTTTTTTTCTCTCTTGTTTCCTCCCATTGTTATAACAGTAAAGAAAAGGAGAGCCTGAAGATGGGGGAAAAGAAGGAATCCATTCCATTGGAAGATTAAAGGTCTTTGCTGGTGTGCACAATGCAGGTACCCATCCAAACCTTCTCTAATTAATGTCTCAGTGCTCCTGTGGACTCTCCAAGACATTCCCTCGGGTACTTCCCTGCTGTTCACAGTCAGAACTGACGCCACAGTCACACTTTGCTGTTGAGGATCATTCAGGGACAGCTGAACAATCTCTGAACAATCACAACCTCTTTAATGTACAAGAGATTCCTCCACCCTGCTGTTGAGGAGCCTTTGTAGGAAAGCCATTGTTGCTGCTTTCCATGGCATTCCTGCTTTGTAGATGAAGAGGAACGAATTATTCCCCTTTTGTCAGTTTGAAATCTGCTTTTTGATTACTTTAACCTTTATTGTTTTAAAATTGCATCAGGAAGTCTGGCACTGTTTCCACATTCATTGTCTTTGCTTAAACGTGTCAGCATAAATTTTACCCACAGATTCTGAGGTCAGCAGTTGCCTCTATTATTTTGCCTTTTGACAATAACCCTGAGTAATGGATGTTTGCTTTTCTTACCATCTTTCTTCTCAGGTGCTTCCAAAGCAGCTGGTGAAAGCTTGTAATTTGGGGTGTTAGAACAAAACTGGATTACAGACGCCCCACGCTGCCCGTGTGGGGCTCTGCTCAACCTGAAAGTCTTGCATGGAAAGAGGGTGACTTTGCATGAGCTGTGAGTTCCCTTCAGTGAAGCAGAGCAGGAGGATCCTGCCCCACGAACAAAGAACTTTTCCTTCATCTTCTCACCTGTGGAATGGGAGCTTCTCTGGAAGTGCCAAGACTGACTGGACAGGGGCTGGGAGGCGTTTGAGCAGATGCACTCCTGCACCTTGGAAACCACAACGTGCCTTTGTTTTAAACCTGCCCTGGTTTCATCCCCTGAGACTCTCCCTGGCACCTTGAGAAGGAAGACTGAGCAGTGAGGTCTCAGCTGGTACAACAAGCATCCTTGGAATCCCTTTTCTGCATTAGATGGACAGAGTTGGAGCTGGGCAAGGTGTGCTGGTTGTTACCAGGGATGACATTCACCAGCCAGGGCGCTTTGCACATCCTTCTCTGGCAGCTTTGGGAGAATCTGGGGGTTGAGGAGAGTTTTCTGCCTGGCTTCAGCAGCTCCCCTCTGTTCCCATTCCCACTATCCCAGTGCTCCCCCTATTCCTGTTCCCATTCCCACTATCCCAGTGCTCCCCCCTGCTACCCAAAACTGGAACCCACACGGTTCTAAGGGGTCTGACCAGCCCCAAAGGGATGCTGTTACAGTATTTACCCAGCCCCAAATCACAGCACTGGCCTCTTTGTTTGTAGAGTGTCTTTATGGCTTTATAAGCTGTGAAGTGCCAACATTTCCTGGCTCTTCCCTGGCTGTTTTCATTTGCACTCACCTGTGTTGTAAATAAAGGCACCTTGCTGAGAGCTGCGCTGGTGTGGAGTGGGCTGTGACCTGGGGAGCCCTGACACCTCAGATGAGCACATTTGCACTGCTTGTCCCCAAAATCAGATTTGTTACCCTGTGTGCAACAAACCAATAATGTAATACTCCAGGGAGACTGACATACCTTCAGAAGAGCCCAAGCCTGGGTGGGGGCTTGGTGGTGTCCCACAAATCCAGCACATCCACTGGACTTTTACCAGCATTTTTTGTGCACAGAATTCAGAGTTAGTAACTCTCCAAGTCCAGCCCCTCTCTTACAATGGGTTATTAATTCCCATACAAGTTATGTCACCCAGCCAACTTCTACCCCTGCTCAGGGCAGGCTCTTCACCTGGCCAGGCTCTTTTTGGCCTGTATGTGTGATTTTTGGTATTATAACCAAGATAGTTCAGCTCTAGGATATACAAACCTCAGGTATAGGACGGAGGTTAGCAACACAGACACACATCAGCATATTGATTTATTGCATCCCTAAAACTTGTCAGTTCCAGGGTGTCCTTCGCTGCTCTGTTCCCCTGATTAGGTCTCTCCTTTTTTGGTGATTGTCCTGGAAAATCTACAAAAATCTCACAGCAAGGAACATCCTGACTAAATAATGTAATCCTGACACATTCCTCATTGTGTGGCACCCAAAACACCAAAGCTCAGTAAGCAGGCTGGCGGTGACAGTGACAGGAGCCACCTGGGGATTTGGGGACAAACACCGTGGCTGTGCCCGACCTTTCCCAGCAGGGCCACCCAGGTGTGCCCAGG